TATTTATCAAGTCACCATGTCCAACTGATAGACATTCTATTTAAAGCTACCTTAAATTTGGATTTGAGTTGCTCTTCGCCCAGACCGTGTGTAGACAAATGTTGTATTGACATTAAAGTTCTCGGTGCTCTCAATCATTTCTTCTTCTTCAGTCGACTCCTCTTCCTCTTCAGAGCTTGAAATACCAATCTCTGCAAGGACACAATCTTCTTCCTCTGAGTCGTCTTTTGATGATTCACTACTGAGTGAATCAGATTGTCGCTCTTCCCATCCTCCTCTCTCTCAATGCGTTTAGCAAGTTCTTGGATGATACTTTCTTAATTGCTTCCAGCTTTGCCTTTTTTGCTCCATATTTTTCAAGGTTATGGTGGTTATGTATAAAGCTATTTTAATAGGCTGTATTTTTTGATGGCACCCAGGTGCAGCTTTTAACATTTTCCTGGAAAAACGTTTGCATATTTTTGAATGGCCCCCCCCCCTTTAAGCCATGCATAAAAAATGGTGGCCCCCCTATTTGCACCAGCCCCCCCTTCCGATAAATAATGACCAGTCCCTGAAAGCGCTTTTGAATATTCGCTGTAAAAACTATTTATTATGATTATTATTGTATGGAATTATTGTTACTGTTATTATTATCATCATGAGTGTAAGTACTATAAAATCCTTGCAAGACTAAAATATGCACTCTACAGACTCTTCAGACGTTGCTCGTCACGAACGATCATTTACAAAATTGAACGACGGTCGCTTTCTGTCGCTCTATTTCTTGTAGACTCCCGATTTATTGATTCAGGTGAACGCTAGAAATTTCACCAGTATTGTTTCTAGGTTTTAGAGGAAAACTTCATAGCAAAAAAATTAACAAAAAAAAAAGAGAAATGGAAAAAGAAACAGAAACTTCCCACGACCAGAAACTCAAATTAACAGAGAACAGATCATTATTTCCATGAGATAAACCAGTAATTACGCATTCTGTGGGGTGAGGTCAACATAACTTGTCAAAGATTGATCTAAAAGTCTTACTTTGATGGTTTGACTCACGATAAGATCTCTACTTGCTCTCTGGGCCTCCAATTGTAAAATTTGTTACAATTCACAGGTGTCCATGGGCACAAAATATAAACCACGTGTCATGATAATTACAACTCTAAAAAAATCATTGGTTGTTTCAAATGCAAGTGAGGAAGAACCGAGCTAAAACTAACCACGCTCAGCAAATTGATAATACTCTCTGGAAACAAAACATTAAAAATTCATGCCATCGAGTTGATCTTCTCTTAGCATTCACTTCTTTGTAGGTCTTTGAAAAACTTTTGAAGTGAAACACATCGTAACAATGAGCATGAGGCCCATGGTAGCTTTCGTCACCTTGTTGGTCGTATGTGCTACATTAGAAAAGGACAAAAATCATGGGCTCAACAGCTCGGCCTTGAAGGACGTCATCCAATGTAAGTTCCTTTCTTCCGAAGCCTTTCTGTATATTGAACTTACTTTCACTGATCAGTATGATTCCTACATGGCTAAACAGCATTTTTTGTTAAAAAAGAAAAGGAAGTGAATAGGAATCATTAACTTCTAGTTGCTAACTAATTCAACCATTGCCAGAACGATGGAATCACACACAATAAAATACCTAATGGCAATTACGGATCATTTTGTTTGTCGAATTAGAAGTTAAGTTTGCCTCACGTCTGATTGAGTATTTCAGAGAAATAGCCAGCAGTAGTGTTATCTCGATACAAACTAAGATGTGATGATCAACCCAGAACTTTTGATAGCCTGCGTGCAGGCGTTCTCACGGCGGGGAGGGGGTTAGGCGAGAGGGGAAGGGAACGCCTGCAGCAGCCCATTGTTTATTTGAAATAGTTCGTTCGCCAGCGAAGGAAGCCCGCTGATTGGATGAAGCATATTTTGATTGACAAACTCAATAAAGCGTGACTAGCGTGACTGCTATCACTTTCAAACATGGCGGCGAGTATCGAACAGCTTTTGCAAGCCATGCACAAACTTTCTGGCGAGTTAAACATAACCTTTAAAAAGGAACAAGAAGACGCAATCAAGAATTTATTTCTTCGTCGAGATCTTTTAGCTGTTTTTCCTACGGGTTTTGGAAAGAGCATCGTCCAAATGCTAATCAAAGCTTCATGTGAAGTGAGGAAAAAGCACAAAGAATAATTATCGTATTTCCTCTGAAGAGCATCGTCAGGGATCAAGTTTTAGAGGCGCAGTCCATGGGAATATAAGCTGGAGTTATAAATCTTAAAGAACTGAACGATCTTTACGGTTACGAAATCATATTTGGATTTGCCGAAGGAGTGCTCTCCAAAGAGTTCCTCGACTTTCTCAAGCGAGAAGACGAGTTTAGAATGAGTGCGTGTTATATCTATTGTTATAGATGAATCCCACACGATAGAAACTTGGACGTCTGATAGCAGGTAAATTCTGGCTTTGAATTGTAGATTTATGTATAAAACAATTATGTAATAAACAAATATGAAATGATGTATGTACGATAGTCTTTGTTTCTCCATCTCGAGGTGGTTCGCGCGACAACGTCACCGCTTGAATTCAATATTAGCACCTTTATTAGTAAACCCTCGCAAGGTAAATCATCTATGTTTAGATAAGTTCTTCTTGTTTTGCTTTATTATTGAAATCCAGAGACTTCTTGCTAGAAGGAGACGATCTTGCTACGTTCATTCGCTTTCTTTGCCTCCACGAAGGACTTTGTTTGTTGGGTGTTTGAAGCTGTCTCTTGCTTGGTGGCTTTTCGTTCTCCTCGTTTCCTGAGTTTTTGATTGGGTGTTCTTTGACATTTTAAAAGGTAGTCATGCATAGCTAAAGAGGGAGTGTATTTCAAATAAACAATGGGCTGCTGCAGGCGTTCCTGCAGGCGTTCCCTTTCCCTCTCGCCTAACCCCCTCCCCGCCGTGAGAACGCCTGCACGCAGGCTAAACTTTTGAATGAGCGCGCGCACGGTGCAAAACTGCCCTTTCATTCATAACGTCGAGAAAATACCGGGACCCAAGCGATCCACTGAAATTACTGACCATTTCACGTGGAACTCCGCCGATGTCATCTACTGCATAACTTGCACTTTAAAAAAAGATAAACATTGGTGAAACGGGAAGACGACTCTGTGACCGATTCCGAGAACACCGTCGCGACTTAGAAAGGAACGACAAGGACGCATCCAAACCAGTCGCTAATAATAATAATAATATGGTATTTATATAGCACTATTTCTATCACTATTCAATAGCGCTGTACAGTAGCGTTATAGATCACACCGATAAAATTTATAGAACGTAAAAAAATCTCTGAAATATGAGTAAAACAAACTAACTAATAAGGTAATCTGTAGTAATGAGGGTAAAAACTGTAACTTATAAAGAAATTAACTAATTTACTAGCTAACTGACCAGCTGGTTAACTAATTAGCTAATTTACTAACTAAGGATAGGATAGGATAGGATAGGATAACTTTATTTATACATGGTTTTTCCATCAGTTGATTTAGTTAATTCTCTACTAGAAACCTATCTATCTAACTACAATAATAATTTGATAATAACAATTCAAATAAAAGAAATGAATAAAAAAAATTCTGCTTTTCATGGAGGCCGTGTCTAAAATTTACTTAGAGTAAGATCTTACTCTAAACTGTGGCGACTTAATTGAGATTTGAAATCAGTCAGCGAAGACGCTTGTCTTAGGTCTACAGGTAAGTTGTTCCACAATTGAGCTC